ATATATCATAACTGGCCTCCCGGCCTCACACAACCCACCCATCCATGAAACTTACACCAACCCTGCAGCACTAGTGTATGCTAGCCGTACATAATGCTGGACCCCATAGACTTTCGAATATCCAATTCTACCCTAAGCTCCCAATCAAACAAGAACAGAACATAAGGCCAAATCAAACATTCACAGGCTATAAGATCTTAATTATGTACAGTCGTGATGCATACACTAAGCAACTACAGTAATGATGTCAATTTCATATAAGGAAGAACCCTAGGCTATCAGGCATCATATAATCAGGCAATTCTATCATGCAATTCATGAAGATCCCTATCCTACTACTAGCATGCTGTTCTAACATATCACAATATCAAATAACTATATGGTATTTTGGGGTCTGCTTACTAGCTTCGGCTGATCGTACACTTTGCATCCTCTTTTAGTTATTTTGAAAACCATTTAAAAACCATTTTCAAAATCTTTCCTTGATTTGAGACTGGATTCACACGAATGTTCCTCCAATTCACTCAAACCAAGGCTCTGATACCAACTTGTAACACCCAAAAATTCAAGCCAATTTAAAACTTTTTAAACAACCCAAAAACCATTAGTTATTACAAACTTGTTTTCAAAATGTACAATATCAGAGTATCCCAGAAACATAGTCGTAAAAAGTGAGGAGTTGTACGATCACGCCTGTGCCTTGCCACGATCGCCTGATGTACCTGAAACAATAAACTAAAACTGTAAGCCAGATAGCTTAGTGAGTTACCCCCAAAATACCGATACACATACAGTCCACATAGCAATACCAATATTAGCATATCATATCAATCAAAACATAATAGCATGTCACTACTAGAAAAATAGCCTTTTACGACACGCAATCGACGACACTCAGTGATTTATGTTACGCAAAAGGGAGTGATATTAAAAAAGTGTCGTCTCTTCAAAAAATTTAAGGATTTATGTCACGCATTATTGCGTGCCCTTAGATTAGTGTCTCATGTAAATAAAAAAAAACACGGAGGGCACTTTATCTAAAATGTGCGTCCTCTGTGAATGTCGCTTTATGTTTTACTCAAAACGCGCGTTCTTGAAAGGGGGAAATGAAATCCCCAAAAATTAAAACCCCGCCTATTCCATGTGAAAAATTAAAACCCGCTCCTCTCTTCGTCTTCTCTCTCTCTCTCTCTCTCTCTCTCTCTCTCTCTCTCTCTCTCCTTCTAACCTAAAAAGGTAACCTGCGATTTCATAGAGATTGTTATTAAGATTTAAGAAGAAAAGAAGAAGATAAGCAAGGATAATACTACTAAATTCCACAAAATCGCAGGGACTAGGGCTTTTTTTCAAGAACGGAAACACTTGGTGCTCTCTGGCCTCTACAACAATCGATCGATGATCTCGCCTCACCTCGTCGGCAACATCTTTGCTCACTTCTCCTTCAACGAACTTAGGGGTATTTTCCTCCGGTGACCTCGGGCTCATGTGACCTCTTCAGAGACTGCTCAAATTTCCACACCCTAGCCCGACTAAGATATGCTATGTTTATTCTCTATTCCTAATGTTTTTGTTCTTCTATTTCTTTAATCTCTCCTCTATTCATAGCTTTGATTTTGATTTTGGATCTTCTCATCTTCTCCTGTGAAAACCCTAACTGAAAAACTATGCAGGTTTCAATGGCGATTTCCTCATCATTCCACGGTCCTCACTTCTACTCTCTTAGCATCTCAGGTATGCTTTGTTCCTTCTCCCTTATTTTAATTCTTCTTGTTTGATTTCTTAGGTGCATTAGGGTTCGGATGTTTCACCTTTTCCTAAACCAAAATTCCATTTATTCAAGATACAATCTTCCGTGCTAAATTATATTAATTTAGTGACATATGTCGGTTAGGTTTTCACAAGGTGAAATTTTAGGAATCGAAGATGGGTAGTTACAGTGATAACGAAGATGAATTTTTTGATGCCCGTGAGGTGTTTGCTTCAATGTCTGACTCAGGCTGCGATTGCTCCCCAGAAGACTATTCTACCTCTGGATTCGACTATGATTACTGGGTTGGGAATCTGGAAAAGGGGTTAGTGAACCATATGATGTTGTACATCACGCTACATAACAACTTTAAGGGCATTTAAGGTATTATATTACTTATGTACTCACAGTATGGGTTGAAACCTGTAACTTTACTTGAAAGAGTTTTCTTACAAACACACAAAAGAGCTTTGTTACACGTATACACCTCTTATTTCAAGTTGAAAAAAATCTATCTATCCCCCCCCCCCTTCTCATCCACGCACAAATGGTTGAATAGGTACCAAAGTGTGGAGTTCTAATGTAGTGTGTGGAAGAACTAACAACAATGAAGGTCAGTTTTATAACACATGCAAATGAAGGTCAGTTTTATAACATATTTTCTTTATTTCAGCTTTTATGATTGATTTCATTTCATTATCTTTTAATCATTTGTATTAATTTTTAGATATCTAATACACCATATAATAGGTTGTGAGCATATAACAGGTCTCAGATCTCAGGCAGGTTCGTGAGCATATAACAGGTCTCAGGCAGTGGGTTGGCAAGGTCAGAATCTGCATTTTACTTTATGGAGTTATGCTTGTTTGGTGTTTGTTTTTGAATCTCTTATTTTATACAGAGCAAAGCAAAAGTAGAAAAGATTTAAGCTCTGAAACACTCAATGAGTGAGAACTCGTGTCAACTATGTGTAGTTGAAAAGCTGAGTTTTGAACCCCCGCCTATAAAATGCCTAAAATACCCCTAATCTCCCTTTATTTGTTGACTTTCCCATGTTGCCCTTATCTATCATATATGGCAAAAGTTGATGCATAACAATACCCTACCCAAAAGAACCACCTTATCCTCAAGGTGGATAGAATTAATGCATGACACCCAAATTCTCTCAGGTGGCCTCTTCTTCTTGCCATCAGTCTTACCATGATTTGCAACCACCACACCAATCACCATATATATTCCACCCATTTGTTCCATTGCACCCATGATCAACTTAACAGCTTCATCAGTCTTGCCATTCTCATGAATAATCAAACATGGGGGCAAATAATGGAAACTAGAACCATCATCCTTCTTAAACTTGACTAAAGCCTAGAAATACCCCATCCCAAAAGATGTACCTTGCCCTCACGGTGAAAGGAAAAAACGTAAGGCACAGTTATGAATTTTTCCCAAGTAACTTTCTATATAAGCTTGCCCTTCCACTATATAATGACTTCTATTTGACTCTTTTTTGATTCTTTAACCTCACTACAGCTACCCTCCTCCATAAATCCAGGGTGAGAAGTTCTCCCCGGTGCAGAATTCCTCGCATTATATATCACCACAGCTTCTCCATCTTTCTTGTTTTCAGCAATCTTGTTGAACATCTCAAGAGGATCAAACATAGCTCTCTTTAGAACAACTAACTTCCCCTCCTTGCAATATCCATGAATAAAATGATTGTAAGTAATTGAATTAGGCTTCACGTTTATTGATATAAGCCAATTGAGTAACTCTCTAACTAGAATAGTCTTTTTAAGCTTACACAAGATCTGAATCCTGATATTGTACATTCCAAGAGCTATAGGAACTTCATGCTTCATCATTTCGAGCACTTTCCCATCTCCCTCAAAATTTTCTTCTTTGTAACACCCAATACAACCGTTACGTAGCAACCATAAACTGCCATCATGTAAACATGCATCAATTTCTTCAGGCACTTTAGTAGCAATTACTCTCGTAATTTCTTGTAGTGTAACAACTACACCAGGAGTAGCCTTAACGGACCTGCCTGGATAGAGAAAAATCATTCAACCAAGCAGGATCGAATAGTTTAACAAAACTAACTTGTGGGTTTTGCATCCATGTCAGAGCATTAATCCCCATTGCACCAACATAAACACATTCACGTGACATAGTTGTACACACCTCCTCCATCAATGGTGCCAATGGACTTGATATTGTACTGTTGTTATCTTCATGTTGAGACTTATGTTCTTCCTGATCATCATTTTCAGCAATTATATTAACATCATTTTCAGCAAAGATTGCACGTCCAGTGGCATCTTCTTTACTTACCAAGGCATGATGGTTAATATCTTGTTATTTGAAGGTGAAATAACTATTTCCAATGATATAATGATGATTTTATATGGTTGGCTTTATCATGTGGTAGTTTATGGTAGGGATCCAATGAAAAGAGAGCACTTACATTTGTTAAATAATTCTTTAGCTGGATTTTGTGCTTAATTCCATCCTACATATATGACTTTAGTCGTATATAACTTAACATGTATTTACTTCTATTTAGTAGTATATAACTTTAATTATCCCTTATATTTACTCCTTATTTTATTTTGATTTGTATTTTGCAGGTTCCAGTGGATATAACACCACCACTACCTTTTGGCAGAAATTCTGTTGCCCTAAGTGTCAAGTGGAACTCCCTCCAACATCTTTAGCCAATCAGGTATATTTTTCATACATATATAGTATATAATACATGGAAATCAAAGAAATAAAGTGAGTAAATTGTTGGTGGAATGGAATCAGGTAAAAAGATGAATTGAATTCTTCATATCCACATACTACAAAGGAATTATGACGGTATGCAAACAATGCTATTATGATTTTTATTTTTTAATTTTTTTTACTGAAATTGGATGTAAAATTTCAGTGTGATGATGAAACATGCGACTATACAACATGGAGTTTAAACTTGCGTGTTGTTGGTGAATCTGAGAGAGGAACAGTATGCCCAAATTACCTTCGCTGTAATGGTCGTCTTGTGAGACGGGTTGGTTTTCATCTCAAAGTCAAAAACACTATTTTTGTCATTACCCTTGATCAAAAACTGAAAATTTAATTTTTGACTAGTATACGGAGGTTGATGTGTACAAGCAACTCTCTACTTATGTTATCTCCTGGATGTTGATCGTTGCATTGACAAGGTTATTTTTGTCATTAGTTAAAATTTTCAGATATTGATATGAAGTGTTTTATAATTGGTTAGTGTATAAAATGAGTTTGGTTTCAGGTTGATGCTAAGTTGAAGGCTACAATTGAGAAAGAGGTTGGTAGGATAAGAGGTTTGGTTGGATTAGCTTTTTCCACAGCACAGAAGGTTAAGGATACGTCTATATTTTTTTTCTTGATTAAGTCTTGTTTTTGTTAAGTAAACAAGAAACATAAACTAAAAGGTCTATATTTTGTTTCTTGATTGGTTTGATGCAACAACTTCTTTAGCTGGTTCAGTGGGACCCAATGTGAAGATGACATGGATTAAATTCAAGATGGAGTATGTTCAGATTATATATTCTTTTAATTAAGCATAAAAAAATAATCATCTTTTTATTGTTTGCTTGAATAAAACCTTTCTTAAAACCTTTTCTTTTTCTTTTTTTGAAATCCACCTTCCTTCATTATTGTGTTACTGATTTTGTTTTTGAAAATTCTTTTTTTAAAGGATGCTGATGAAGAGGACTTTGGTGATGAGGATGATGAAGAGGTAAACAAGTATAACAACCCTTTTATATATCGATCTCTGCTAAAAGGATATCTATTGCTTGATGATATTTCTACAAATTGAAGTACAAAATATATTAGGCATATGATCTAATATATTTTGTACTTCAATTTGCAGAAAGATCATCAAGCAATAGATATCCTTTTAGCAGAGATCGATATATATGAGCTTTTTGCTTTCAAACATTGTTGGGGAAGAAGGTTGAAACTTGCTCTTTGTGAAGGTAATTTTTTTTTTCTTAATGTATTATCCTCTATATTCTTGATATTTTCCCACTTTTAAAATCTTTTATCAAATTCTCACTTTTGGATACAAAGCTTGATGAGAGAATGTGTGACCTAAATCTTTTATCAAATTCTCACTTTTGGAGGTGGCCATAAGAAAAGGTAAGCAAAGTGTAATTTGGTATTTGTTGATGTTATTGTGTATTACAATACTTCCATGTATATATGTATAAAGTTTGTTCTTATTCGGATTTGCCTTTTACCATTGATTTCCTTATTGAGGCATTGTACTTTGAAAATGTTAATTCTTACCTTTTGTCCATGTAGGATCCACCAGGAACAGGAAAAACACAAACAATTTTTGGGCTTCTTAGTGCCATATTACATACCAACTGAGTATCTAAGTCTCTTAACTTTGTAAGACATTGATTACTTGAGGGTATTTTTAGTAACATTGTAAGAGATTGATTACTTGAGGGTACTTATGGTATATAATGTTATATTCTTTTGTTAACATGGTCCTTAGTGCAATGAATTATCTTTATTGTTTATGGTATTTTATTTTGTATTATGAGACTTTTAATGTGTTATTTAATTTGAAAATTAGTAAATCTATCAAAAGAGTATTTTATTTCTATTATGAGAAATTAAATGCAAATTTAATTTCAAAATTAATAAATATATAATTTTTTTTAAACATTTAAATTTACGATACGCAAAAATGTGTGTCATCTTCATTTATGACATGGCCTTTCTTGACAGGGGCTTTCTTGATATGCATTGCGTGTCATTAACACGCGCGTCGTAAGGTTACGACACGCGAATGCGTGTCGTCTTCCTTTATAACAGGGCCTTCCTTGATACACATTGCGTGTCGTAAACGCGCGTCGTAATTACGCGTCGTAAATGAGCGTCGTCTCTCTTTATGACAGGGCCTTCCTTGACGCGCATTTGCGCGTCGTCTGAGACTACATTCAGAACAGATAGGTCTTGGTAGAAGACTACATTCAGAACAGTTAGGTCTTGATAGAAGACTACATTCAGAACAGATAGGTCTTGGTAGAAGACTACATTCAGAACAGTTAAGTCTTGGTAGAAGACTCCTGTTGTTATTAGTAGGAATCAAGACCTAACTGTTCTGAATCTAGTCTTCTACCAAGACCTATCTTTTCTGAATGTAGTCTTCTACCAAGACCTAACTGTTCTGCATGTAGTCTTCTACCAAGACCTATCTGTTCTGAATGTAGTCTTCTACCAAGACCTAACTGTAATGGTATTTCCCGTTGGTACTCGGGCAAATAACAATGTTAACTGAAGACATCCGTGGATGTACATTTACCTCTGTTGCTAACAGCTGGGTATAGGAATAGTCAGTCCCTAATAGTATACCTATAATGGTATCAACCGTTGACATCCGTGGATGTGCTTTTACCTCTGTAGCTAACAGAGATTCTAGGAATGGTCAGTCCCGCAATGTATCCTTGGGTACTAGGATATTAAATCCAATCTATCTCGTCGATTATGTGATTGAATCACAAGGTAAAGATAAGAATGAGGATTGTATAACAGAATCTATACATATAAAATGTACTAGTAATTCTTGTAAGTGTACTCATGTAGATGTGATCATGTAATTGTACTTATGTAAGTGTGATCATGTAATAGTATAGTAATGTACTGTTATGTTCTAGCTGTAGTGAACGTGCTCTCTATCTAGCATGTATGGTAACGTACTGTAATGTTCTAGCTGTAGTGTACGTGCTCTCTATCTAGCAAGTATAGACTCATGAATGAACTAACTCATTGTATGGTATCGCGTTCTAGTAATAGTTCTAGTATCATCCTAAACTACCCATATGGTAGTTTACTAGTAATCTAACTGGTACGTATGGATATGGATGTATACCCTTGCTACCCAAGGGCATGGGCTGAACTGGAAAGACCTTTTATGACTATATATGTACATATGTTATATAACTAATATTTAAACGACCTTCGGACGAGTACCCGATATCCCACCAGACCACATCTCAAGCGCGAAAAGGAAATAGGGTGGATAGCCTTCCTAACTCTTTTAAACATTTCTTATATAACTATACATATAGAGGCATGCAATTTATAATATAAAAGCATAAATAAGTTTTGTAAAACATTTAAATATAATTATTATCTTTAGAAAAGATCGACTTGATGTCAACCTATAAAACAGTTTGAAGGCATAGGTTTGATAAAACAGTTTAAGTATAAGGAAACATTTTTTTGAAACACAATTGTAAATAAGTTTGAAATGTAATATACAGAGTAAACTGTACAGTGTAATAAGGAGTTTAAAACATATAAAATTTTTATAAAAATCATTTGAAGTAACGGTTTGGTAAAACGGCTAATGAGTAGCCAAATCATTTGAATGCTGTATATTAATCATATGTGATTGATGTAATAAGTAGCATAATTCTACTTACTAATCACATGTGATTGACATAATAAGTAGCATGATTCTACTTGTATCCCCCCCATAAAACATTTAAAAATAGTTTAAAACATTAATTAAGGGGTATGAACTCACCTGCAGTAAGTGATTGGACTTGAACGGACTGTTATCGTAAGGAAGGATCGGGCAAGTGCTTGGTGTCAAGTGAAGACTTTAGACACACACAAGGATCCTAATTACATATGAAGACATATGTATATAAATAATTAGTGATTAAAACACTAATAATAAAAGTATAAACATTTAAACGCGAGGAAAACACCTTTGGTCAAGTGCTAGGAGGCTAATGGGTTGCAACAAAGGAGTGCAATGCCCCTAATGGGAGTTTATGGTCTAAAGACCATATGTTTTGGAGTTTACGGCCCAGGGGAGTAAACTCCTGGCCGTAAACTCTCCTTAGGGTCACTAAATGGAGCTTAGAATTACTACAACTCTAGTGGTGAATTGATTCAAGGCTAAATCAAGTGTTTGGGTGCCATATTAACTCCTTTAAGGAGTTTACGACCTTGGGACCATATTCCCTTGGATTTTACAGCCGTAAACTCCCTTGGGAGGGTGATTATGGTGTTTTCAAGTCTCAAACATTTCAAGGTAATGATCTATGTTGGGTTCTAGTCATAAGGAAGGAGTTAGGGTGTCATTTGACCCCTTTATAGGTGTTTATGGCCCAAGAGTTTGTCTTGGCTGTAAACTCCTTTTTCCTTGTGATTCCTTATGTTTGCTAGGCTATAAACACTTTAGGGTACTTGTCCTTAATTAAGTCTAAGCCTTAGGAAGTGTTTCAAAGCATTTTGGGCACATAAACATGGAGTTCACGGCCCAAGAACTCCTTGGCCGTGAACTCACTTTCATTATTGTTTCCTAATGATTTTGGTGTCCTAACTATGAAATGAAGGCTTCTAGTTCGAGTTCTAAAGCTTTGAGGGTCATTGGAACCCTTTAGGACCTTAAAATGGAGTTTACTCCCCAAGAACGTTCTTGGGCAGTAAACTCCCGAGTCTAGTTGTTTTGATATGTAATTGATGTTTCTAAACATAATCTAAGCTATATAACATAACTAGATCGAAGTACTCACAATTTTGGATAAAAACCCGAAGATCCGTGAGAGAGAATTTTGGTTTTTCTCTAATTGGAATTCAACTAATGAACTATTTGGTTCAGTTTTCTATATATAGTGCTGGGATTTTTGGCAGAAAATATTTCTATTCTCGGAATGAACTCTAATATCCTAGAGTATTGGAATAACAGTGTTGCACAAAACCCTAGTGCATCCACTCTCCTAATATCTCCTTAAGTGTAAAATCCTGAAAACTGCCAAACTTATACTCGAAATCTGAGTTTTCACTGTAACTATTCTACTTCTATTGGCTTCAAATGGTTTGTTCATAATGGAAATTTCGGGTTGTCACATCATCCCCCTATTGAAGGGAATTTCGTCCTGAAATTAGAATTTAGTCAATGAAGTATGTACGAATGATCGAGTCGCGTGGAGGAAACTTCCTAATCGATTGGTTCTAGCGCACTTAAGTGAAATCGGGTTCTCGGTTGGAATCCCAACGAACCTTCACTATCGGGCGATGGCGCTGCTTCGTCCGCTTGACGTCTGGGTCGAGGGTCACTACGGTTCTAATACGAAGGCGAGGATCTCGACGAGTGGACTTACAAAAGTCCTAACGGAAAGGTATGGTTTCATGATCGAGACGCGAAGAGTAGGATGTACGTTACTGAGTTCGCGGAGTAGGTCTAGTTTGTGCGAGGCACATGAACGATTCTGATAAGAAGCTCGGAGGTCCTGTCTATCTTGGATTTAGCTTTCCATGCTTTACGAGGCATATTAAGCCGTTCCCGAGTGAGACTTCCTAAAGAATTTAGTCACTCACTTGGAGTCTCCAAGCTTTCTTTTTCTTGTTTAACTTCCCAGACCAAGGCCACCCCTTGATGGGTCAAAGTCATACGGGTTTCTATAGTTTGCGCGAAGTTCTGAATGAACTATGATAGTAGGTCGGTAAGACCTGGAATTTGGCGAAAGGTTGTCGGTGTCTCTGGTGTCGATAAATGCTCAACGGTTTTGACAAATTGAAAGAGTACTCATAATTTCCCACGTTACTAACAGTGTGTGATAGAAATTTGACTTTTCGATTTCAAAATTCGTGCCTAGAGAACTTCGCTAAAAGTTCCTCTGAAGGTAATGTTTCCATGGGTTTTCTTCTTACTACGAGGGTAGATAAGTAAGTCATTACATGGAGAAATGACAAATTGATCCAAGTAAGAAAGACGTACCCTATTCATTTAGCTCAAGAAAACAATGGGCGTATTGGTCCTATCAAAAGGGTATCACTACGGACTTGAAGTGTCTGCATCGAGTTCGGAAGGTAGTCTTCCGGACATCCTTCCCTAACACTCGAACTGGTGATATTCGGA